CACACACACACACACACACACACACACACACACACACACACACACACACACACACACACAGAGGATTGAATGCACACCTACGAAATTGCGAGATCGTAAAAGAAAATGTAATATCGTTGTGGTAATATCGTTAGAACTTCATCATCATGATCAAATTATCCCCCAAGGCTCGAACTGATCCAGCTTAGAGAGAGAGATTTACACGGGCCGCATCTTTCCCGTCGAAATGTCCCTGCGTTAATAATAAATTCGCGTCAGCTAACGAGGGTATTATCAGGTAAATCTTGTTCCACTAATATCGTTCACGTGGGACGACTATTTTTATTTCATTACACGAGCGTGCGCAACGATAATGACGTGCGATTTTCTTCTCGTCACAATCGCACGCAAATGCGAGCGTCGTGCGGGTTACAAAAAAAAAAAGAAAACAACTTACGACATTACGCGAAAGCGGGTGATACATCTCGGATCGATATTCAAATTATTTTGGATACTAATGCGGGTGAATGGTACAAGTAGCACGCGATGACGTAAACGCAACGACACTTTACATCCGAGAGTTTCACGTACCGTACCAATTTCTAAAATAAATCCCGGTCGCTTTGATTAAACATGCGAATTGTGCTTAATGCTCTTCCTTTACTGAAAAAGGAAGAAAGAGAGAGAGAGAGAGAGTAAACTTTTTTTAACGCGATTTTCGCAACGAGATTATCTTGAGTTAACATCAAGAGCTTACTCATCGTATATTACACTCGTAGAATTAATATTAATAAATGTTTATATCCAGGTATATCTGTAAAATTAAAAAAATCTAACTATGAAACATCTTCATGGAAGTAACGTCGATTTTATGCTTGAAGATGGTTTTTTTATTTTATCAAAATTTTTGATTTTTATTTTATGTAGTTCCATCAACAATTTATTGTGAAGGGTTCGTGTACATATCACGAGGTCGTAAAAAACCGCCGAAAATTCTACTGGAGGGGAGGGGGACCGTAAGAGTGATATGGGTTAATCCCCTGACCCGAAGCAGGACTTCTTATTTGTCGTTTATGTGAACTATTACGGGGATTACGCGAACGAACGTGCTTTGAATCTCTCGCTTTCCTATTTAGGTGTGATAATATTATCCGTCAAACTTTAGCAGAGCGTAATGACAAATTTAATCCCCATGAATTTTGAAAATTAAGCAAAATTGATTAAAAAGTGCTAAAAAGCGATTTAATACCTGAATATTCAGATGAATATTATTTGTTGATAATTCCAGTAATTTAATAACGTGTTTTTAATTATCAGAAATAACACTTTTAAAAGTAATTCATAGTAATTTGAAGTCATGTGCAGGAGCATCTTTATTATCATTATTAGTTTCGTATTGACTAAGACAAATATCTTTCATCACATTTCACCGAAATTGATTTAAATAGGTATCCTTAATTAAGAAAGATTACGGTTTCTAAAATGTATGGCAACAGGCGGTGTGTAGATATAGATATCAATCATGGAAATACGAAGTAATTTTCAAAATTGAGGTTTGTTAAAATGGAATTGATGAATCGGCGCAATTTTGAGTTTCGC